GAGAGAACACACAGTGTTTCTCACTCTCTGACACAACTCCCAACAACCAATCACAAGAAAGAACCTGCGAAGATCACAATTGGAAATCACACTGATGATGAGCCACTCCAACAATTATCGTAACAGAGTTTGTTTCAGTATCTCGCCACTCTCAGAACTCACACCCCACTCTCTATCCTACACCCAGTTAGTAGCGTCACATCAGAACAGCCTCCCAGAGGCTAGCGCCAACCACCCTGATGAAGAATAGGTCCTGCGATGAAGTCTTCAGTGGAGATGGACAACTCTGACGAAGGAACAGGCAGCTATGGCTTCCACCACCCACGAGTACACAGTGTRGAGCCTCGATATAGCCCGACCAGACGCAGATACCCCCAGGGGTAAGTGCGCTGAGGATGCCCCAGCTATGGCAGACTCAGACTGGGCCGGCTATGGCCGCTGTCAACGGCGAGTCTCATGATGCCGCCTGTAGACCATCACCACCACCAACTTGCTTCGCTTCTCCAACGCTGCTTCGCGAGAAATGAACTGCCAAAAGTTCTGAACCGATGGGCCTAACCTATCTATAAACTACCTAGCCCTAGACCGGACTGACTGACCGACCGGTACCGTTGCTGTTTCGGCCTCTCGGCCTCTACCGGACCCGGCTATAGGTTATAGGACCGTCTAGCAGCATAGGCCGCTTAGGGTCTGTCTGTCCTAGGGGTAGCCCGGGCATGCTATACGCAGTTGGGTAGCAGTAGGAATTCGGGTTACTACTAGGCCTGTATTTTTCCCAGATTTGCAGATATGTCCCTCACGAATTTCCCTACAGGCAGGTCTCTCGGTTAGCCCTCAGCCAAACAAAATTACAAATCTAACCCAACCAGTTAATGTATAGCCTCTTAGTCAATCTCGACAGTAGAAATCAGCAAGTCATTGCAGGCTTACCCTCCCCGGGAGCGAGGACCTCCGAGCTAGGGGTGCAGGCGAGGTGAACGACGAGGAAGGTTGCCCTTCTGAGCCGCTTCATATCGCAATACAATGGACTTTGCTGTCTTGAGCAGGTCTCTTCTGTAGAACCACCTGCTCTTAGAAGGAGGCTGGAATGCAAATCTGACAAGATACTGCCGATCGGGGCCTGTGACCCACTCATCCTCAATCCGGTCAATGTCATATCCCTTACCAGGGATCGGCGGACCGGTCTGGGAATGCATCAGCTAGAGTAAATGGCAGCAGCTTGGATGCATGGAAGACCGGATAGGTACGTAGATGCAGCGGGACGTCGATGACATACGACGGACCGAAGGGATCAGCACCCACTGTATCTAGTACCTGCCATGGACCCAGGTAAAGTGGCAACAGCTTGGGGGAGATATCCTCCTCCCTCGATAACTCAGAGCTGGCCACCCAGACATGGTCACGAGTGCGGATGGGGGAAGGCCGTCTGTGGTGATTAGCTTGTTCAATCATAGCCTTTTGGGCTTTGAACAAGTTTGCGTGGGCTCTTTCCACATCTAGACGATAACGTCTGGTGAACTCTGCGGTGCCTGGTGTCAAATCAGGCTTGGCCTTATCGATGATGTCATCGAGAGGTTGTCGTGGGTCACGTCCCCAGTGTAACCGGTAGGGACTGAACCCTGTCGAGGAGTGGACAAACATGTTATACATGAGCTATGCCCTGCTAAGTGAAGATCCCAGTCCTGTTGATCTGGAGAGATGACAGGACGCAACAGCTGGAATAAGACTTGGTTCATCACTCCAGCCAAACCATTGGCTTCAGGATGGTGACCAGAAGTCATGTCCAGTCGTGAGTGCAGATACTCCTTACAGTAGGCCTGCCACTCATCGCTGCAAAATCTGGCGTCTCGATCACTGACGATAGAAGTGGGCGGTCCATGGTGTGTGACCCACCTCTCAGAGAAGGCTGCTCTCACAGCCGGTACCCTAGCTACCTCTGGCAAGGGGATGAACTCTGTGTATTTGGAGAACCTGTCCACGCAGACCATAACCTGACTCATGCCACGGGGGGTGGTCTTGCCTAAATCTGTGAAGTCTATCGACACAGATTCAGTAGGGCCATCAGGTATGGGTAAGGGTTTGAGCAGTCCCAAAGGAGGTTTACGCTGAACCTTGTTCCTTTGGCAAAGCTCACAGGTGTCCACATAACGCAGCATATCACTCCGCATCGTCTTCCAGAAGAAGCGCTGCGACAGGGCTGCATAAGACTTTAGGAACCCGAAATGTCCACGGGCATCATGACACTGACATCAGCAGTGTCCTGAGCCGCTGGTCCTGGGGAATGCACAAGCACCCCTCACCTCTGCTGCAAGTATACAGCAGGTCTGAACTCAGAGCATAGCCTGGTTCAGAATTAGGATCTGCTTGCAGATTCCTGACGATGGGTCCGAAACTCTCATCCTGAGGCAGTAGACGAGCAATGGTCTGACGGGTCTCCTCTCCAAAGGAGTGAGTAGAGGAGATCAGCGCAAAAGAGTCCGGCCTACGAGAGAGGGCATCTGCTACCTTGTTGTAGCAACCCTTCTTGTGCTTCAGTTCAAAGTCAAACATGTCAATGAACTGAATGTACCGTTCCAACTTGTCATTTAACTCTCCCTGGGACTTCATCCACTGCAGGGTGGAGTGATCTGAGAAGATCTTGAAGTGCCTGCCCAGGAGAAAGTGCTTCCAATGTTTCAGGGCACAGACAAGAGCATAGAGCTCTTTCTCGTAGGTAGAGTCCTGGAGCTTTTGGGTCTTGATCTTCTTACCCATGGACTCTACTGGTCGTAGACCATTCCCATCATCCTGCTGAAGAACTGCCCCAATGCCATACTGACTGGCGTCAGTGGTCAGGATGAATGGCAAAGTGGGGTCAGGTAACTTCAGTACAGGCGCACGAGTCAAGGCCTTTTTGAGTCGTGTGAAGGCCAACTGACAGTGGAGGGACCAAAGAAAGGGAGTGTCCTTCTTTGTTAGGTTAGTCAGGGGTGCAGCCACTGCAGAAAAGTTCTTGACAAACTTTCTGTAGTAGGAGGCTAAACCCATGAAGGACCGGACATCCCTCACTGTCTGAGGCTGAGGCCACTCCTAAATAGCAGCAATCTTGGCTGCTTCGGGAGCCAGACCATCTCCAGAGATTACATGACCCAGATAGATGACAGAGGGAACTCCAAAGGAGGACTTCTCTCTGTTGATCTTGTATTGGCTGTCACGTAATGACTGAAGGACAAGAGCCAAGTGCTCCGCATGTTCCCTGGCAGTTTTGCTGAATACCAGGATATCATCCAGGTAGACAACCATAAACTTGTCCAGGTAAGGCCTGAAGATGCGGTGCATCTCTGTCTGGAAGGTGCCTGGGGCGTTGCAAAGTCCAAATGGCATGATCAGGAACTCGTAAGTCTCATACTTGGTCTTGAAGGCTGTCTTGTAGACATCCTCCTCTGCCATCTCAATCTTGTGGTGGCCAGATTTGAGGTCGACTTTGCTGAACACTGTGTAGCCCTGCACCATGTCCAGAAGGTCATCGATCCTCGGAAGTGGCTCAGTACTCTTCCTAGTGATCTTATTGAGATCCCTGTAGTCAATGCACATTCTGAATTTGCCGTTCCCTTTGGGCACAAAGAGAATAGGTGCACCGAATTCAGAAGTGTTGGGTCTGATCCAGCCCTTGTTGGTCAGGGTCTCAAGCTGCTTTCTGAGCTCCTCAAGCTCACCAGGGGATCTCCTGTAGATGCGGCCCTTGGGAGGGACCGCTCCAGGCAGCAGCTCGATGTGATGCTTGGTTGGCCGGTTGGGTAACCCAAAGGGCTCCTGCATCAGATCAGCATACTGATCTACCACCTGCTGTATCTCAGGAGGACAGGAAACAGGGGGAGCATCTGTTTGCTTGACCAAAACAATAAACAGACGCTCGTGGTGGTACTGGCGTGAGAGAGCATGGAACTCCCTCGCTCACAAACAGTAGCAGGAAGTCTTAGGGTGTGCATGGCTGATACACACCCTAGCTGTCTGGTAGTTCAACTCTAGGTATCTGCCAGTCGATCCTAGGGTTGACTGCCCTCAACCACTGCATGGAGAACACCAAGTCAAAAGGCAGCTCAGGGAAAATGTAAAATTTCGGACTGTGTCTGACTTTTCCAGCAGTATCGAAGGTCACAGGGATACCCTTGACCTTCTCCCTGATGCTGAGCACTGTAGAGTCACCAATCCGCACCAGCAACGGTTGCTGCAGCTGTTGAACTTTCATGCCTAAGTGCAACTTTTTAACTGCACTGGGAGATATGAAGTTCCTGGTGGCCCCACAGTCCAACAGCCCAGTGATCCTGGTGTTGTTGATCAGTGGCCGAAGCATGATGAGATCAGTCTTGCTCTTCTTCTGTTCCTTCAGATGCAGGAAGAAGGCAGCAATAGACTGAAGCTCATCCTGCCCCGGGTCCTGATCCGGGTCAGGATCCTCATAGCAAAAGGATGCTGCCCGCACAGTCCCCAAACAATCACCATCACAAGCACATGCAGTCTCAACTGAAAAAGCTGCAGATTCACCTACCTGAGTAAATGAAGGTGCAGCACTGGGGGGAACTGCAGTCCCCAGGGTCTGTTTCAGTTTTTTGACTGACCCAGGCCTGGCATGTAAGGGCAGTCCTTTAAGAAGTGCTGACCCTCACATCTCAGGTAGACCCCTCTTCCCTTTCTTCTTCTCCAGACTCCCTCCTGGATCTTGAGGTCATGCCAGGGGAGTGTGAAGGGATTCAAAGGTTCAGCTGGCATATGGACATCTCTGGGCAGGTTAGGGCGCTGGGAAGAGGAAGGCCGACGTCCCTTTTCCTTCCCCTTGGCACTGGCTGAGGCTGTGGTGGGAGAACTTCTTCTGCAGCTGCAGAGCTCCCAAAACAGCACGAGTCACGACTGCTGCAACATCTGTCTCAGCAGCAGATCCGGTCCCACCTGAAGGTGCATCAGGCTGGGAATCGGAATCTGATCCTGAGGCAGGCCCCGCATGAGTGAAGGCTGCCTTTCCCCTTCTGCCACCTCTGGGGAAGGCACCTTTCCTCTTATCAGAGGATGGGGCCTGGACATGGAGCTTGGCCTCCATTTCCAGGACTGCACGGCCAAAGGACCTCCAGTCCTTGTGTCCAGCGTTGTACAATGCAACAACAAACTTCTCAGGCGCTGCCCTGCAAAAGTTGGTCAGCAAATCATCAGAAGACATGACCAACCCAGGGGTGGAGGTGAGCTGCTCGAGCTCAGCAAACAAGGCCTGCAGGGTGCCGCTGTACCCCTGCTGTCCTAGGCGAGCAATCCTGTCAGCAACCTTGAGGGCCCGCTCCTTGTCCGCAAACCGGTCCTCCAGGGCCTGCAGAAGCTTGTCTACCCCAAGCCCAAAAGCCCAGTTCTCCATGGACTGTTGCAGGCTGCTGGAAGTTGAAGTGGCCCACTTCAGCGCAGGCCCTTCCAGCAGTCCCAGAATAGTCGCCACCTTGGTCTGTTCTGCACAAACAAAGCCCCTCAAGTAGGCTCTGGCCCCAGCAGCCCAGTCCCCAACATCAGTCTTGGGGTCATCGCCCCTGAACTTGTTGGGAGCAGGGATCTTGGGACCTCTTTGGTCTCCTGCAGTCACAGCAGCATAGGTGGCCTTTCCTGAGGCCTTTTGGGAAGGCGTAGATTACCGGGAAGAATGTACAGAACCAGCATGGGATGGATGTGGTGAGGAAGGGGATGAAGGAGGAGGAGATGGTTTGGGTTTCAGCAGAGGGGGTTCAGGAGTAATCAGCTTGGCGGCTGCCAGTTGACCAGTCAAGTTCCGGATAGAATCCAGGATCTTGGACTGCTGAGCTGACAGCTCGTCAACCCGACGCTCCAATCGCACGAAGCGATCATCCCAGTTCGTGAACTGGGAGCTGGTGATCTTGTGCTCTAGCAGGATCATCTCTGCCATCTGCTTGGTGACCTGGGAGCAACGATCATCTGTGAGCGCTTTGTCTAGCTGCTGCAACATATATTCTCTTCTGGAATGATCTATTGCAGCTTCTAGCCCAGCTGCCTCCTGCTGTTCCAATTCTGCAAGTCTGGCCTGTTGCTGCCGCAGCTGTTCTTCCAGCTCCTTCTGCAACCGCTAAGTAGCAGTCAGAGGTGGAGGAGTAGTAGTGGAGGCTGAAGGTTGTTCACCTTCTACCTTCATCACAACTTCCACCTGTGGCTGCTGCTCAGTTCCCTGATCAGACATTTTCCCGGTTCAGAAATAAAACCAAAAATAAACAGACAGCAAACAGAATTTGCAGCGATACTTAGATTCCTTCAGACACCTAGGAATCGCTGCAATAACTCAACACTGAAATAGGTGGGTGTACAGGCAATCAACGGTTTGTGTAAGTCCAGCAAAATCAGTCACACGATTTCCTTTTACTGACCCTGGACCACATTGGAGTTAGTAAACACACTCCACTACTCTTTCAGAGACCCACTAGATTTCCAATACCCACTAGAAAACAAGTGTCATCAATGAGAATGATGGAAGATGATTAGTACAGACAGTAGAGATCAACCTCAACAAGCGATGCAGACAGTTACCCTGTATCCTGACTCAGACTCAAGTGTAGACTCTGATGACTCTGGCGGCCATACCCTAGGGTATGGCGAATTACAGTTTTCACTGAATCCAGTGAAATACTGCAAATCCAATCCTGCGATTCTACAGTATTGCCTATTTTTGGATTGCGATTCACTGGGGACTGACAGAACTGAATTCTGACGGACAGAATTGAAGTTATGACTGACCCTAGGTAGCACAGGCTATAAATAGACTCAGCGCAAAACTGCAATTCACTGTATCACTACCTTTCCAGTGCAGAATTCACAGTTTGAGCATCCCAGAATAATCGCAATGCAGTATAGCAGTCACAAAACAATTTTGGATCAGTAAGAATCAACAGAAGGTGAGAAATGAGCAGAGAGAGGTAGGGGAGAGATGGCTATGGCTGTCATGCAGTCTGCGATTTTCATTTTCAGTCACTGGCAGACAGATAAACCATTATAATTAACTAAACTAATACTATCTGGATCGCAATACAGGTAGGTGCATGGAACGGACTCACTTTCAGAGAATCTTGCAGGTGATGATGAAGATCTGGCTATGGCTGATGATACCCTTATCTCGCCAATTTCCTCCAGATATTCCTCCTGATACTTCCACGCACAGAACTGTTTCAAACTTGTTGATCCTCCTCAGGATCCTATAGTGCTGCACTCCCTCAACTCAGATACATTGTATCTGGTCCTGTGGCGCCCAGTATGCCAACACCAAAATATCTCGCCACAGTGCCTGGTAGCCACTGATGCTAAAAATAGCCCCAGATGAGGTTATTTCTTCAGGAGATTGATACAGACTGTCAATCTCTATCAGCGCTACCCAGGGATGATGCCGCTCAGGGTTCCCTGATGTTCCCAGGGGTAATTCGCCACTCTGGGGTAATTCGCAATATCACCCTCAGGGTTGGCTATGGCGAATTAGCCCTGTACTCGCCACTTCCTGACAAGCGCCCTGACAGGCTCAGTGCGCTTGCTCAGTGCAGACACTGAACACCTGTTTCCATCGCTGAAAATCTTCTTCCCTGCTGACTCAGTACTAGGGAAGATGAATCGCCATGAAACTCTCGCCAGTATGTTGCCAGATGAAGAAGATGCCCCAGTGCGCTCAACCCTCAAAGTTCCAAATCCAATCCCGCTCCGATACCAACTGTTATGAACTTGGTTGTCTGACGAATTTTATCGCCACTCACACACAGACAATCTCACACATGCCCATACATGCATAAGAGAAGGGGAGAGAGGA